ATATATATGCATATTTACGGTAAATACATTATTAGCAGTGGATTTATTATTAAGGGCATAACTATTTACCAAGAACAAATGGAAAGAATTGTATTTTTGAATTGTGTGGAAAAGAAAAAAAAAAAACAAAGAAAAAGATTTACACTTTTAAAAAGTGTCTCATCCACCCAATTTCCTTATTTACAGTTATTTTTACGAGGTTGTTTGGGAGCTGTTGCAGAATAAAACCTGGAMAGGAGCTACTAATTAACATTTTATGTTTTCGGGTAAAAAAAAAAAGTACAAACCCTTACATGCACAGGAAGAAACRCACAGAAAGGCCAARAGGCAAACCTGTGACCTACTGGATGTGAAGCAACAGCTGTTACCACTGCTCTCCCGTGTCACCTGAAGTGTGTGTGTGTCATACGTTGAAATTCACAGCTGCAATGTGTTCATATATGAAAAATAACCAAAAACTGTGAGTTAAATAATATTTTAGAATATTTTAAGGAGCAATTAAGTTCATTAAAAATATTTATTTATTTTTATTTTTCTCTAAACTTTTTAAACTTAAATTCTAATGTGTGTTTTTGGGAAAAATGACTTGATAAATGGGAGGCCTTTAAATAGAGATGCATACATACATGTTTTTTATGTTTATTGTTTTGACAACTATTAAACCACTGTCTTGGAATACTGGAAAACATGTATGAAAAGGAAATTAGGCTTTTTTAAACCATTGTGAGTTTTTCAGTTTAATAAATTGTTAATCAGTTTCCAATTCGAGACTGTTTAAATAGTCATGATTCGCAAACAATAATTTAACTCATTTACTCATTTTAGTCAAATTGCCTAATTACTTTTGTGTTTCTTAGTTCACATACAAACCAAAAGAAAGTTAGATTTTCTTGCTAAAAGTTGTGAGCACCGGGCAAAATAAAAACAGAGGGGGAAAAATAAAAGAAACTCACCCCAAATGGCAAATCTGTCTCTCGTCTTTGGTACAACGTAGCATGTAGAAGTCACAGAAAATGATTGGTACCCAGTCGAAACGAAAATGGTTTTTAAATAAGTTACAATTAGATAAGCATTAATCTCAGTGGTATAAATGAATGTCTTGCTGTAGGGCTTGTTGAATGTAAAAACAGATTTACAAAAACGCTCTCACCAGATTGGTCTGGAAGGAGTCTTCTGCTATTTTAATTGCTCTGTCATTTAAAACAGAAATAAGCCCCCCCATGCCCTGCCAAACATTCTGCCCCTTGATTTTGCCTTTGAAATTAAATATTGTATACAAATACATGCTGTTCATGGGCATGAGCACAGTTCATCACTGAAATCTGCATAAAATAATGTTTAAAAGGCTCCATACGCTTTGAGCAACAGAACTCTTTTGTACGGTGCATTCATATGTAAACATATCAGTAACACAAAAAAACAACTTCTTATGTTTTCTGCCTCAGTTTTTGCTTTTCGCCGCTGTTGTTGCATTGTTCTGCTCAGCTGCAGAAAYGAGAGCAATGTGGGAACACAGTTTGTTGCACTTATTCTTCCTTTCAAAGAAACTGATCTCTGATGTTCCATCCATTCTGTCAGTGAAGACCACCTACAGTTCTAAAAACAAATTAGGTGAAATGCATTTATTGTGCATGTGGATGTAATGACTGAAGAAAAAGTTTTAAACATGGTATTATTTCAGAAAAAAATATTTTTTTAGACTTACATAAAAGAAACATTAAAAATAAAACTTACTGGCAGTCAAATACTACGGTGCCTGCGAGGGGACATGGGAGATTATTTTCAATAGTATTGCGTTACCTCACAACACTTTTTGCGTTCCCTCGCAAAAGTCGTTTATCAGTGTTGTGCCTGCTGGTTTATTAACACATTCATGTGTTCACCATTAGCGTGTTTAATGCTTTGATTCAGCTTCAGAATGAATATATCACACAGCCACGTATGGAAGTATGTCATATGCCGATATTTTTAACACAGTGCAGCCACGCAACATCAATGTCAATTTCACGAACTTGTGGTGACACATCCTGTTTTGATAACCGGATATTTCAAAATAAAAGTCTGATTTCATTCAGTTCATATACAAAATAAACTTTTGCGTGGGAACACAAAACAATTTTGCGAGGTAACGCAATAGTATTGCGTGGGAACGCAAAAAAATAAACCCCGTGTCCCCTCGCTGGCTCCGTAAAATACAGTAATGTTACTGTGCATATTTTCTTTTACAGTAACTGTACTGTATTTCACATTATTGCACCATTTCTGTTTTTGAWTTGTATTTTAATTTACTGTATCACTACATTTTGGTTTATAGTAACATGRCTCTATTGTTTATGTATTTGTGTGAGTTCCTACATGAAGCTATGATATAACTGATATTTTGACCTTTTTGTTGAATCTCGTAGTGAATACATTTGTTCTGTTTTTTTTCCCTCTCGTTGCCACCTCTTTTCGTGGAAAAAAGAAAGAAAAAAGAAAAGTAATCTCTCATGTCATTAGTCAGTGTTTCACCATCAGCTTTAATGTAAACTGATCTGCAGCAGAGAACTTATTTACCCTCAGTCCATCACAGTTTCCAGTGATACACATTTTACTGTAGCTTTTCTGTAAAATCATGCCAAAATTCAAAAATCATTTCTAGCAAAGCGAAGAAGAGCACTGAGTCTGCGTCGTCTCCACAGTATGTGCAAAAACACTCCTTGTTCCAGGAGATCGTGTTGTTGCCCGTTCGTTTCAGGAACACAGAGGAAGTATTTTAATGTGACCTTCATTACACATTCACGTCAACTTTTCTTATCTATTTATGATGAAATTCTTTTCCACTCCTGTTGTTCAATTAGTGCTTGACCCCTTTAGCAGCGATGTAAATTAAATGACATTTCAGTGTCGTCCCATATTTAAAATACTGCGTTAGTTGCGGATCATAAATGATGATCTTCATTCTGCAGCTAATTTATTCATTTAACAATTTCCCTCCAGAAGTTACAGCAGAAGGCTCTGCAGCAACCTAAGCAGAAGAAATCCAAGTCGGCTGAATTTCTGATGGGTGAGTCCTGCTTGATGAGTTATTGCTCATAATTTGTGTAAGGATTAATTAACTAATTACAGACAAATGGCTTTGGGCTAAATTTTGCTCTTGCTTGTCAGGGCGCAATTTGTAATTATTTTAATCATTTCTTCTTCTCCTCTTTTTTTATCCTCCTCTTGCAAGATTCTGATTTAATTTTAACCTAATTGTATTTTAGTATTATTTGAGGAGGATGTGCTTGAACATTCAGGAGCAGGAGAAATCATCAGCGGAATTTTGTTGTTAATAAATGTGCGTTTTTTTTTATGACCTAGCTGTTCGTATTGGCCTACGTGTCATTGTTTTCTTCCCATTTTTTAAAAAAATTCTGCCTATCAGGAAGCGAAGAGGAAGAGACTGTGGTGGGCATAGAAAATCCAGCTTTCAGTGGAGGAGGAGGAAGCGCCGAGCTTTCCGAATCTCCGAGTTGGCTGGGGAGAAATATGCGAGGTGACAGGCCAGATAGCACCCTTGCAGCTCACCAAAAAAAATTGGAGCTGCGAGCCCCTGCCAAGGAAAGAGGTGAAGCTTCATTCTTCATTAGGCTCAAAACTGTTGACAGTGGATGTGTTCCTGATCTAACCTTTCTCTCGCTTCCTCCTGCTTTCTCGTGCGCCCTCTCTCTCTCTCCGAGGAGCCCTCGGTCCTGGCATTCCAAAGCAAGTGTGTCCAAACGAGCAGCTCTCGTATAACTTCTTCCTCTTCCCGCCTCACAGTGGTGGGTGTTCTATCTCTATCTAGAAGTACCCTCGACACAATCAGCCTTGACTCCCACTCTCGGCTACATGCCTTGTGGTGGGCTGGAGTCATAGGAGAGTGCATTTACATATGCTACTGCGTTACGGAGCCGATCCGCTGTCTGTGTGGTGTACTTACTCACAACACCCCCAAAACACGGCTCAAGGCCAATCAGGCATACGAATATGCCCCCTTATAATTCGGTATGTCAGCGAGAACTCTTGAGGAATGGGATGGTAAATTAGGATGCGTTCAAGGTTGCGAGCGTGCCAGTTTTCTCAGGAATGAGTCACATTTTAGATTCTTGATTTAATGTGGCTCATTTTGCTGCAGCTCCTAATGGCTAGGGATTATTAATGTTATTGTCAGTTGATTTGTATGCACAAGAGATACAAATGAACTTTGTTTATGAGGTAATGCTCAATTTTAAGTTTTTGTGTGTGAAAGTAACAGTCTTCCTTTTGATTTTCGTATTAATTTTAAACACATTTTTAATACAAATTATTCTTATATATGAATAAAAATATATTTTATTCAATTTCTTCTTCAATTTTGCCGTAATACAGACCGCTACAGTAGATCTTTCCTGCCCACAGTCATCAGCATCTACAATAAGTTTTTAGTTAAATGAGTTAAAACAACACTTAATTTCCCTCTGGGATCAATAAAGTATTTTTGAATTGAATTGAATTGAATTGAAATTACACCCAGTCAGTGTTTTAGATCAAACAGAATGTGATATGAATGTGTTCTCACCAAACTTATAATTTAATTTTTATTATTATTATTATTA